TAAGTTGAGATCTGAACGCCGATACGTGGTCAAATTTACGCAGGCAGAAGATGAAACGAATGGCATTGTTGATGAGACGATCCAATTTGTTCAGAAGATCAGCATTCAGATCGGGATAGCACACATCAGCATAATCAATGAGCGGGAATATGAGAGATGTTACAAGCAAAATTTTTGTGTTAATGGGGAGAAAATTCCTAAATCTGTTTAAAACACGAAGTGAGTAAATTACTTTGCGACTTACTTCGGCAATTTGTGTGTTCCAGCTAAGAGAAGAATCGATGTAAATGCCAAGATTTTTGACACTTGTGCTAAACGGAACAATCGTGCCCTCATACACGACAGGCTGGAGAGACCCATAATCAATTTTGGCAATTTGTTTAGAGCCACCTACGATAATGGCCTGACATTTTGATGGATTTACCTTAATTCCAAAATCGACGGACCAAGCACTGATACGTTGCAAGTTAAGGTTTAACGTTTCGATGGCCATATCAACATCCTCAGCCGACGTCTGAGTATAGATTTGTAGGTCATCAGCATAGAAATGGTAAAAGCAGCCAAGCGAGAAGGAAAGGAGGTTAATAAAAACAGAAAAAAGTAAAGGAGAAATTATCCCACCCTGGGGTACACCAGCAATTAAATCGTTCCAATTAGAAAGATTTTGCTCAATGCGAATCGCTTGTTGACGGCCACGAAGGTAAGAGGAGAACCAATCCAGTGACTTTGATGAGAAGTTAAGGGATTTAAGGATGGCGAGGAGAATATCGTGGTCAACCATGTTAAAAGCGTTGGAAAAGTCTATGAGTACTATGACTGTAACCAACTGTTTCTCCATGCCCATCCTGACATCTTCAGTAACTTTGAGCAGAGCCGTAGTAGTGCTGTGTCCAGGACGAAACCCAGACTGAAACGAAGTGAGAAGATTATTGGAAAATACGAAAGAGGATACTTAGTGATGAGCAACGGCTTCAAGAACTTTAGAAAGAAAGGGAAGGATGGAAATAGGCCTGTAGTTACTAAGTAGCTGAGGAGACGAGACTTTCGGCAGAGGAAGAACGAAAGCTTTACGCCAAGCTAGAGGAAAATCACCGTTGAGAAAGGAGTAGTTAATAATGTGTACAATAGCTGGCAGTATATAATCTAGAATGTTGACTATCATTTCTCTGCTGACGTCATCCCATCCAACTGCTTTAGATTTGATAGACAGAATAATTTTGCGAATATCATCAATTGTCACTGGAGAAAAAGTAAAGGAATCAGAAAGAGATTGAGCTCTGGAAGTAATAGTATTGATAGCTTTATTCTTAATATGTGGGTCGAGAGAATTGGTTGTGGAAAAGTGATTATTGAAATCGTTAAGAGAGAATGGATAGGAGTCAGGTTGCACAGAACAATTGCCCAAACCTAAAGAACGGAGAAACTTCCATACATTCGCCGAAGATGAGTTGCAGATATTTTCATGAAAATATTCTCGCTTTGCTGCCCTCACCATTCTGTTGCACCTATTACGAGCTGTCTTATATAAGGACCAGTTTTCCTCCGACCTGTCACGCTTGAAAGCACGGAATGCTCGATCTCGTCGCGTCATGGCTATACGGACACCTCGACTAATCCAAGGAGCGGGAGGTCGCTTAACTCTAACAGGCTTTAGCGGAGCATGGGCATCGTAAAGTTTGAGAACACATTGGTTAAAGTTTGAAACTTTCTCATCAATTGACGAAGCACCATACATCGCTGAGAAATCGAGCTTAGAAGCATCCCCCCTTAGTCTATCAAGGTCCAGTCGAGCAAAGTTCCGCATCCACACAACAGAAGGTTTAGTTTTTGGTGGTTTTAATCTATACTGCAAAAAGATTAGATCGTGTTTTGAAAAACCAGGGGCAGTAAGCTGACCGTGATTAATAACGAAATTAGGGGAAGTTAAAATTAAGTCAAGCCATGTGTCATGAGAAGTGGTATGATGTGTTGGCCTAGAAGGCAGAATGGAGAGATTAACGGACTTGACAATATCAAGAAGTTTAAGAGAGCGAGATGAGCTACACATTAGATCAGTGTTGAAGTCACCCATAATTATGTGATGTCCGTATTCCGAGCAGAGTGGTTCAAGAACAGATTCAAGCTGAGAGAAATAATCAACACCGGGGGGAGAATAGACGACGCCTAGAACAACTTTCACTCCCTTGATAGAAACTTCTAGGAAGATGTATTCAGCAGAACTGGAGTAAAGAGAGGGAGATGAATTAAGAATTTTATATGGGATGCCATGACGTAAGTATATGGCAACACCACCACCGCCTTTGCCAGTACGATCATTGCGGATTAGAGTGTGCCCAGGAAGTGAGAAAGAAGAAGAGGAAAGACAGGGTTTTAACCAGGTTTCTGAGATAAAAATGGCGTGAGTAGTGGCAGAAGAAAAGGTTTCAATGAAATCTGAAAAATGAGAAGGTATGCTTTGCGCATTTATATGACACACGTTAAAAGAGTGAGGTAGATTTTGGAAAGAGTTGTGTAATAATGAACCCAGTGTTTCCGGTTCCGAAAAAGAAGTAGAAGAAGAAAAGCTAAGGTCACGAGCGGAATGAAAAGAATCATCATCATCAGACATTAAAATAAATAAATATAGCAAATAAATAAATATATAACGAACTAAAAACACAATACAAGTAAAAACAAATCAATTAATTACACAAAATAATACTATGACTGTCCTGCCGGTTGCTTGACATTTACAAAACATAAAAATTGATACAATGACAACAGGCTGACGTTCAGAGCCCACGGTCCAGGTACAATAAATGCAAAATTAAAACGTCAGGGTATGAAGTTGCACCCAGATCGCAGGCACCGAACGCAGCCCGAGCGGGCAAAATACCAATATGCCAGGGCGATAAAAAAAAAAAAAAGTTTCTAATCATTGTTCAGATTCACAGTGACGTCATGGCTCTTTGCCTTTCTCAAGATGGGAAAAAAGTTTAAAAACAAAAAAAAATTGACAGTGACGTTTTCATTACTAAAGTATTTTAAATTTAAACAAAGTGAATTGAAGGTACAATAAAAAATAATAACTATTTAGACACCCAATGTTAATACCTGAAATAACAAACAAACATTTAACAAAAACTACATTAAATAAAACTAAAAAAGAAATCCATATTAGAAAACTAATGGTGCAAAATAGGACAATGGAAAAACGAACTACTTTACTTTCTCGCCCTGGCTGCTCGCTTGGGCTTAGAACGAGACTCTGGGGAGAGCATTGGTGTTGGTGACCCAACTTCAGTTGTTGACTGCTGCGACTGCGAAGCACTTTCCGGCTGCGGCTGCTGCTGCGGCGGGGAGTAGTCCTCTGTCGCTGATATAGACGACAGATCGCCTTCAGTGTGCAGTCGCTGTTTCGTTCCGTCATTCAGCTTGACAAAAATGTTCCCCTCGATTGACCAGCACCTCTTGATCCCAAAACGTTTGCGAGCACGAATGAAAAGTGCTTGACGTTGACGTGTTAGGAACTCGGATAATGTATGCGGAGTACCCTTGAGTGCTGTCTTCTTACTCCAAACAGTAGATTTGATGGAAATATCCGTGAAACGCAGTAGCACAGGGCGACATTTCCCCTCTACTGATGCACCACCGAGACGATGACAAACACGTAATTTATCTGAGGTCAGATCCAAGCCCATCTTGCTGTTCAGAAGACATATAATGAATTTGGAAACATCTTCAATATTCTCCGGTATGCCGCCAACGAGAAGATACTTCCTGCGATGCCTCATTTCTATGTCATCGACAGATTTGAGAAGCTGTGATATCTGGTCTCGCAGTAACGTCAACACAGACCATACCTCAGACTTGAAGTCATGGAACTCCTGTCTTAGTTGTGTAAGAGAACCATCATCCTTGGGCTGTGAAGAAGAATTCCATTTACTCTCCAGCTCGTTCATCCTTAGTAAAAGTTTTGTTTCCAAAGCTTGCTGAGTCTCAAGAACTTTTGCAATATTGGCCATTGTTCAGTGAAAATTATGAGTTTCTATAGTGTTAGTGAAACCGGTCAGGACAGTTGGGTAAAACACTAAAAATTGCACATACACTGAGGATAATAGTACACAATGTAAATAGTGTTAGATACTTTAAGAATTTACTGTAAAGGATCCTTTAAAATAACTGTAAGTATTTTTAAATAAATTTTATATTGGAACAGTGTCTTAAGTGTTTTCACTCCTACCACCGAAAAAAGGCGGTTATTAGCATAAGTTATAAAAATAATTCAGGTGTATTATGATTTTGAGGTTAATATTTTGATCTGAATTACTTAAAAAATACTGATGACTATAATTAAAGCAACAGCATAAGTCTAATCATATTACAATATGTGAAGTCTAAGTGCAGCACTGAAATTCTATTGAAAGGAGATGAAAGCTTGTTTTATATAATAACATGAGCAGATAATATTATTTTCTTATTCATCCTCGATAAACTTTATATCATGTTTGAAAGTACACCCTCCGTCGTATTTGAACTGTCTCTTTTGTTGGTGTCAACCCAAGAAAAGAGACAGTTTATATGACCCTTTTTAACAAAACCAGGGGTAAAACTGTACTTCCAGGGCCCAAAAGGAGATACTTGTTTTTTTTTTGTAGAAAAGGTCTTTTTAACAGATTTTTTTTCTGGCGCTTCGCCGGCCGCTGCCGCGGCACGCTCGCTTTGCTCGCTCGGCTCGCGCGTTATGGTCACAACACTAACCTAACCTAACCTAGTGTGAAGTATCACCACTTGATAAGAAAAGTAAAAAAATTCAATATTTTTTTCTAAAAAACTACCAGTGCATAAGTGTGACATTTTTTTAATAATGTGGTTAACAGAAACCTTTTTAACAACAAAAATGCAAAATTTCAACCAACAAAACTGTGAAGTTTTTACTTTTGGGCCCTGGAAGTACAGTATATCCAAACCAGGGGCCAGAAAACATAGTAAAGTCAGCTTCTTGTATGGAAAATACTCACATGTAAAGATTTTGTGCATTTAGCACATACACTTTTATTGGAGGCACATTTATTACATAAAAGATGGTAAGCATGTTTAATTGCTTTTTCTTCACAACCTTTGCATTTTCTAGGTGCAGTCAGTGCTTTGTATTTTTTGTATTTAATTTTCCATCCAATTATATCTTTGCATCTATTACACACTCCTGATATTTCTAACGAATTTAACAATTTTGTTTTGTGGCTACTGTCATGTAAATCATTTTTAAATGCCGTCTTGTTTTGATACTTCTGTGGTCTCTTTCTGGATGAATTACCTCTTGAAGTACTCATTTTCAGTTGCAGTAAATTGGATAATGGTTTGATAGTATGACTTGCTGTTAATAAGAAAGGCAGGGCTGGCACATTCCTCGATGTCACATTAGATATACTTTAAATCCGGGGAACTACACAAAACTAATTTCAAATAACTTAACTATTTTAATCAAAGCACATTACCATAAAAATAACCAACCACATGTTTTTTTTTTTGGTTAATTTGTCCCTGTTGGGACGGGCAAAGGATTCTGAGTCCATACAGCCCTGTCTGTTAACTTTTCTTTCTTAAAGTGTTTTGATTGTAGCTTTTATAAATTTGTATAAAGGAATGTAGGTGTCTTTATTTTGTAAAAGTTTTCTCAAGTCGCGCGGGATGGTTTCTTCGCCAAAAGTACTTCGAAGGTCTTGAAGCAGCAAATTTCTCTGTACTTGAAATGAACCGCAAAAGAAAAAGATATGGTCCAGGGACTGATTATCTTTGTTGCAGAAGTTACAAACAGGTGAGCTGACCATCTTTAGCCGGTACAGGTGATCTTTAAAAAGGCAATGACCTATTCGAAGTCTGCTTAAAGTGGTATAAAAATCTCTTGTTCTGTACTGTCCTTTATCAAACCAGGAGGCACGTATGTCTTTCTGAATTTCTCCAAACCATTTTCCTTTCTCTTGCAGAGATATCTTCCAGTGGTCGAGCCATTGGGTCTTGATTTCTTGTTTGAGGTTAGGCATGAGATCTGTATATGGTACAGCTATATCTCTCACAGCACATCTGTCGTTTCTCACTACAGCAGTACAAAGAGCATCAGCATCTTCATTTCCATGAACTCCGATGTGTGAAGGCGTCCAAAAAAAGGCCACTTTAATATTCTTCTGCTGTAAGTTTCGTATTTTTTGTTTAAGATTTTCCCGTTTTAGGGAAGGCAAAGGGAACAAAACCCATACAGTCTTGTCTTTAGTTTAATTAATCTCCTTTTTCTTTTTACATTAGAATGTCGGTGTGACGCATTCTAATGTTTCCTGTTCCTGTTCCTTTAGGGTAGGAGCGCTGTCGCTGAATGCATTTCGGAGCCTGTTCCGACTCGAATTTTATATGCGCGGACTGAGCTGGCCAGCGATCCATTACCTCACCCCCGCTATACTTTATTTCTCATTTATTCAAAATATACATTGGTGCGAGCTTAAAACTATATGTACATATATTAGGCATACAAATAGGCATATTTAAGCGCAGTTGGGCGTCCGTAAACATCATATTTTAGCTGTGGCGCGCAAAAAATAGGTCTCTGCGATATTTATACTTTCCCCCTCCATTTTTTCCAATAAGAATAATCATAAACAATGGCTTTATAGCCCTATAAAGTTTAGAAATTAAAAGGTCTGTAAAAACCTATTTGGACTTATTTAATACCTAACTATCATATTTTATTCTATAGGGCAAGTGAAAACACACGTAATAAAATCTTTATTGTCAAAATTATACCTATAACTAACTTAATATTGACCAAAAACTATATCTAACATTCGCCTTAATTATGCCTAAACTATTATGGTAATTTATATAAAACTTCGCTATCCTAATCCGTTGGCTACCTATTATCTAATAAAACATAGCAATTCAAACATAATAACATAATATTTCCGAAAGCTAACAATTCATACAAAATCTTATAAGACTGATAAAAAGAGACAGCCTATCGTCCCTATTTTTCTCCCTATCGTTCCGAACTATCAGATTCTAATACAGTTTCTCAGCGCCACCGCTTGGCGTCGTCGTGGCGATCGATTAGGCAAATTCTTATAAGATCATCGGTTAGAAAGAGACAGAATAACGTTTTGAACTATCAATTTTACAATTAGTTAATATGGGCAAAATTCTCTATTATAACAATATTCGGCTCATTCTAACAAAACGACAATGAAATAACGTATTTAATGACCGTACGAATCTGTTACATGTGAAATTGCACTTAAAGACACATTTTTCAATAGTTCACAAATCAGTCTTGTTTCGATGTTTCACCGCACACGTAAACTTTATTTCTTGCTATGTCTTGTTGTTTCGATCGTTAGGCGGTCGTCTCGTACATATACTGTACATATATGAGTATATTTATATAAGTAGAAATACATATTTAATATCCATGACTGGAGAACAAATGCTCGTATTCATCACACAAACATCTGCCCCCACCGGGATTCGAACCCGAGACCTCTCGAATCGGCGACACAATGAAACCCGGCGTACAACCCACTCAGCCACGGAGGTCGTTAAGAATTGTATTACGAATTCAATGCAATCGAAGGTCTTAAATAAAATAAGAATAAATCTGAAAGTGGCAAAGAAGATACGATTCTAACTAACGTGAAGGCACCAATTATGGACAGTTTAAGGATTTGATTTAACATTTTTTATAACTGTTCATAATTTTGCAAAGCTACAATGTCATGATTATAACCAAATTGTAGGTCAATAAACATGCTTTATTACACGTAGATAAATGATTTATATAGTGCTATTGTTTCTGATAAAATAATGGAGAACTTAAAAACTGACAAAAACTCCATTTATAGACGGCACATCCCCAGTGACGGACACTCAATGTCGGACACTCAATGTCGGACATGAATCCGATGTTGTACTGTTGGACACGTATCCCATGATGAACAACCAATGTTGGAAGGTTATAAGTTCACTAATTCAAAATAAAATTGTTTTAAGAATTTTAAAGTTTATTAATAAATAAAAATAAATAAAGAGAAAACCTCAACTTTCAATAGACAGATTTTCAAAGTAAAAAGTAATTTTATATTTATTTATAATAAATTAAAATGTCAAATCAAGTAAAATCAACTACAGCAGTAACATTTCACTTATAACGGTCAAAAAAACTTACGAAGTATCCTTGTAAATAAGTCCTAAAAAAAGCAGTTAACAACTTAGGTGTCTACTCTTACAGGCTACACAGTCTATTTTTTTCTTTATATTATCTACCTTCTTTAACAATCACAATCTGAGAGATCAAATTTAACCCTGTCTTACCTACCTATTAAATAGGAAAATGGCTTTAAAAATATACACAATTCAAATAAAAAATTGACAAACAAACGAAGAAAAATCTTAAAATCTAATAAGTCTCAAGATCATATACTTAAATGTTTTGCCTAACATAAAAACAATACAATACACAAATATTATAAACTAGTGGCCCGCCCTCGCTTTTCTTCGGTGTAGAGCTGTAGTGTAGACTATAGTTTTTGTTCAAAGGCTTGTATTATACACAATGACCTTCTTCATGTATTGGACAGTGCATTTATCAAGGAAGGCTATAGGCCTATTACCAGGCTTGCTACTTGACCAGTAGCAGCGGAGCATCGTTGAAAAATGTTGCAAAAACGGGTAAAAATATTCCATTTGTGACATTCCGTTGCGTGCGCTGGGTAAACGGTTAGAGTTACACAAAAATCATGTAGGACGGAATTCTTTCCCTTTAAAAGTTCTGTAAAAAAGCCCACGACAATCTATGTCTATATTTTAAGTTTGACTCACTATAAACCGATTTCTTCAAATTAACGCGGGTGAGACCGCAGGGGACCTCTAGTTGTGACATAACTGCAGTAGTTAGACATATTTAAGTCGTATTTTTAATTAGACGAAGTCAACTGACGTTTACTGTGTTGTCAGTTTTTGATGAAATAAAAATAGTGTTGTAACAAAGTGAATGATTGAAAAAACTCCTGAATCAATGAAATTGCCTCGATTGTCTAGTGAAAACTTAGTATGCCGAACTGCCGATATCGGGTACGGGGTTCGAATTTTAGTCGTGCTTTGTACATACCAACGAGTTTTCGACGACTATGGTTCCTATAGTATTTACCTATACTGAATACCGAGTGTTTTAAACATTAAGGAAAACATTGCGAGGAAACTTGTAAGACTGTCCCATTTTCAATATATCATGTAGTTGAGATGTATATAATATAACAATTATAGGTAGGTAATGAAAATAAAAAAACATCGCTTTTTACATAATTTGTTTTTATTCATCATCAGAAAAAAAAACATCACTATCGCTTTCGGTAACATTAATTATAAATCTGTCTGAAACATTGTCGATCATGAGGTCGAGACCATACATTTTCTCTTCTTCTTTAATTATGTGAGACACGCAGCTACTCCATTTTTCAGGTGTGATATGTTGAAGTCCTTCTTCAAAAAGTTTTTTTACTTCTGTCATTTTGAAGGTTTTGTTATGTCTTGCAACATATCCTTTAGCCTGCGCCCATACCAACTCAATAGGATTAAGCTCACAATGGTATGGGGGCAGACGTAAAACAATTATCCCATGCTGCGCTGCCATCTCGTCCACAACATACTTATCGTAATGTTCTTGTTTGTGCTGCAGTACAATGTCTATAAGAGTAGCTTTAACCATTGTTGCTTCGAAAGAAATATCTTTGCTCGTTAGCCACTCTTGTATTCTAAATTTAGTCCAAGACATTTTAGGCAGCGATTCAAGTTTCCTGGAGTGGTAGGGGGCATTATCCATCACTACTACGGAATTTGGTTTTAGTTTTGGCAAGACCCCGCTAAACCACTTCTCAAAGGAATCGGCATTCATCTCTTGATGATAATCTTCAGATTTTTTTTTGGCTTCAAATATCAATAAACTGTCTTCTACGAATCCTTCTTCCCCGCCTATATGGCCGGTAATTAATCGTTTGCCCTTTCCTGAAGGCTGTTTTAAGCCAGTGGTCAAGCCATCTAGGAAGGCCTGGCGGGACGATAACACTGTCTGGTCAATCCATGCCTTCTTCGGTGCATGACCTTCAAGATAGTTAAAAATATCAATTAATTATTGAAAGTACAATTTAATGTAAAGAAAACAGAAAATTGTAATTACCTTCGTTGATCCAGGTTTCATCTTGGTAATAAATATACCTTCCTTCCCTTCGATACTCTTTAATTTTTCGAAGGTATCGCTGGCGCCATAAAATAATATCCTGTCTGTCAATTAAAATGCTTTTTCTTGATTTTGTGACATATTTGAAATTTAAATGTTTCATAACATTTCTTAATGTACTCCAAGAAAAATTGGGTAAGTCTGGGTCTTCATTGACAACCTTAAGAATCTGTAAAGTTATAAAAAAAAGTTTTGATTAAGGAAGTCTACGCAATCTAATACTTTGATTTTACAAAGAATATTATGGTGGACA